TTATAGATTTCTTCGTTTCGCTTGTGATTTAGTTAAAGGGGGATGAAATGCCTTCTTCCGGTTGAAAAGTCCTTTTCGAGAGTTTTCAGCGTTCTTTCGTTGGACCCTTGCAGAGTTGTTGAAATCCTATCTCCCCCGTCGCAGGTGGCGTTTTTTGCGAGGTTTGGCGACTTAGAATTTCCGTTGGGTTTCAAAGTGGTGGCTTTGGCGAGTTTGATAACATGAAGGGTATGCTGTTGTTGCATTACTGGTTTAACTTTTCGGCGAATAGTGGGTTGTGCCAACTTCGGCAGTCCGGCGCTCCTCCCTTTTAACGGGTTGTTTTGGGGGACGAAGGTCACTTTTTGACACTTTTTCTTTTGCCCTTTGAAATGCTTTCTGATGCTGTCCGAGGCGATAGCTGATTCCGCCGAAAAAATGGAGCTTCGCCCCTGTAGATCTACGGGCCTCTTGGCTAAGCGCTTTGAGCGCGGGCCGTAGGTATGGGCATCTATTCTTCAAAAAAAAAAAAAAAAAAAACAAATCGAATTCTTTCATCATTTTTGTTGTGTGTGTTTGTGTATCTCAAGGAAATATACAGAGGTAAATTTCTAGAAAAATGATGCGCACCATTCATTCTCTTCGCTTCACTAGACCAAGCGTTAATTAAACCGTTGTTTTGGAAACCTCATTTGCTCATCCTAATTCTACTAGAACTTCAAGGCTACCATAATGAAAAATTAACACGTTGCTTTTGGAACCTCATTTGCTCATCCTAAATTCTACTAACTTCAGGCTAAAACGAGGATCCTATTTTTCTACGAACTCTTTTTCCATCAACAGCCGCCAGCACTGTATTCACTTATCTTGTGTAATGGAACCTCAATTGTTCATCCTAAAAATCTACTAGAACTTCTAGGCTACAGTAATTGAATCCAAACTGTTTCGACGAACATTTTTTTTTCTTTCATTCAACAGGCTGCCAGCATTCCTCATGAGCTTCGATGGATTTCTTTGTTTGATGATCCTAACTAAGTTCTTTTTCTTTCCTGGTTAATCTTGGTTAGTTAAATATATAGATTTCTGCAGTTAAAATCTTGAATTAACTTTATTTGTTATTTGTAACCCTAAATTTTTTTTGTAGTTGATTACTTTACCTAACTCTATAAAATCATTTTTCTTTGGTGTATCAATCAAGTAAAAGCATAAAATAATAAAGATTTATAACCTTATTAAATTATTGTAACTTAACTTAATGGTTAAGAAAATTAGTTTTCAGGAAATATTTACTTTAATGTTTTTTTTAATTACCCATTGGTGAGGATGATTTGAAATAGTGCTTGTATTAGAGCATTCTTGTTTCTCAGGACAACTTTTTTGAATAGTAAATGTGTCAATACTTATCTTATCCGGTTAAAACCATATTAATTAATCTAAGAAAAAATTAAATAAAAAATTTTTATTTGCAAATAGTATTAAATGATTATATTATGCAATATTAAGCATATTTTGTTGTTTGATGAATTCTGTGTGAAGTAGAAAGTGTAGCTTGTTTAATTTTTTTTTATTATTTTCTCCCCGGGGAGGGTAGTGTTCTTAATTTATAGTTTATTTTGGTATGTTTTACCAGATTTGCAATATTAAATTTAATAGTAATTACAAGGATGTAAAATGTGTAAAACAATAGTTCAAATTTTTTTGATATATTTTGATATTTTTAACTAATGGATATATATATATTTATAATTGGCATTAATAGTTAAATAAATAAGTTTTTCTAGAGCATTCAAAGGTTAAATTTTTGTGTGTGTGCTCATGATTTTCACCCTTCTCATTCTCAAGTTGATTTCAGGGTTAATCCGAAAACACAACGCAAAATGTACAGGGCTTATAGATATTAGTATATTACTGTTAAAAAATTTTAAGTGTTATGTCAACAGAGTAGGAAACCATATGATTTTTCTATAACAATTATTGGTACCGTGATTTTTTCTCTATAACATTATTGGTGCCATTTGATTTAGATATAACAATTTCGTCAATCGGCCTCGTAGAACGGGAGATATAGAATTGTCCTCCCCCTTTTTTTGGCGCAGTGTACATTTTCAAATTATTCACCTTACGATTAAAAGGCCTATATTTAGTATTCAAATATTATTTAGAAAAGAAATAGAAAGAATAAGGAAATAGATTCTGTAAACTAAATAGAATTTCAAATATTTCAGAGTAAATCTAATAGAGCCAATTAAGCCAGCAGGATTTAATAAATACCAGATAAATAATCCAACGAATTCTATATAAAAATTCCGATTTTTGTATTGTTAAATACAAAATAAAATATGATACCAGCTTATAGGAAGACACTCAGAAAGACGGAGAAATAAGAATAATTCCCTCCAAATCCTTGGTCCGCATATTCTGTGCATAAAAAATTCAAACATTTACTATGCATTTTCCTAAGGAAAATAATACCATTCCCCATCTTCAAAATATTTTCTGGCTGTCCTCTTAGAAGATAACGCTAAAGTTAGTAAATATCTTTTCTTCTTAGATTTTTTCCTAGTAATTTTTTTTTAAATTTCTATAAATAAGTTAACTTGTCTTTGGATACATTGCTCTATACTCATAATAGTTTATAATTTAATTAAAAGTATCTTAAATGAATAAAAGGTGGAAAATTAATGACAAAAATGACAGTATTTGAGACAGCGAATATTTCGTTTCTCGTATATTATACGTATGCATTCAACGAAACTCGTATATTATACGTATGCATTCAACTAAACATGAACTAAAACAACAGTAACTAAAACAAAGCAGTAATGCTTTTATCTCTCAAATGAGCTAATTAAATTTTAAATAGTTTTTATGTCAAAGGTTGACATTACATTTAGTCAAACCATAATAAAATGTTATAAATTTTAAATAACTGTTATTCTTAATATTTAGCGGAACTTTCTTAAAATTTTTCAGATGTTTTATAATACGAGTTCATCAAAAAATAACATATACTTTCTTATGTTTTATACATTCTATACGCCGTATATTTACATTATAACCACCCATTTCTTTACCACAGACTGTATCAAAAAATTCAGAAAAACATAACTTATTCATATGCTTAAGGATTTAATCTGAATTATGTTTCTAGATTACTCGTGAGAACAGTATATTTTTGTGATAATATTGCAGGTAAAACACTCAGTGCTCTTTTGTGTTTTGAACTCGTTTTACAACATGTGTTCTGCATTAATGGCGTAGCAATATTTTCGGAAAGATGCATATATACTCATATAATTAATATTTGAAATAGTTTTGGATACATAAACACAGGTTTGGTGTTCAAAGTATTAATAAAAATGCATCTTTAAAAATCAATCGAGATACCCAATTAGAAATTTTGTTTAATATATTTATCATTTTGCTTAGTATAGTTGTCATTTTGTTTAATAGCCTGAATCAATCAAAGATAATTCGTATATCATCTGAAACTACAAATTTTGACAAAATAGTTTCATTATTTTCACAAAGTATTTTTAAGCCTCCACAGCAGGCCAAAATTTGGATGGTACTATTTTAGATAGTATTCAAATATGCAATGAATAATGATAGATGTAAAAACAAAATACTCGAATTTATAAAAATGAATTTCGAAAACAAATCGTTCATGGTATTAACAATTCAAGGTTATTGTTAAATATTTCATGTGATGAGGACAGAATTTCAGGTAATTTCAAGTAATATCTTGATTCAAATGAAAAGAATGACTGTATTGAAGTATAATGCTGGTACAACAAGGCACAGAATCCATGTACATTTTTATGAACTCTCTTTTTTAGGGTGTACATGATATAAATAATTATGCAACTTGTAATAGCTTTATTTTTTCTATTTTCAGCTAACATTTACACAAGTTTTATATACGTAAAAATTAATCTTATGCAATAGGTACTCACCATAAATGGAGAAAACGAAAATAATTTAATTGAAAGAGAAACCTGCTTATATAAGATCTAAAATTAGCTAAAAAGCAACTTTAGATTAGCATATATTTTAATAACATTTCGATTGATTTCGAGGCAGTCAACACAGATGCCTCTTCCTTAGAAGCAAAACCAATTTTTCCTTTTCTTGCAGCTTAAGAAAGAGATCTTTCAGAATAGATAGTTTTTTTTTTCGAAATATATGCCAATATAAGTTTTCTCTTCTCTCTAATTTTAAATTCAATATATAAATATTTCAGAAAACAGTTTAATAATACCACTTCTGTATAGGGATTTGACGTACTACCTTGCGTTTCAAACAGACTCTGCATAATTACCGTCAGAAGTATAAAATTTATTCTTCATTAAATGTTGAATCAGTCAGTAGAATTATTTCTTCATTATTTTAAGCTTGCTATGATAAACATGGGTGTGCTTGCTTATAATAGAATATTTTGTATTAATTCTTTTGTCTTGGAAGTATTTCATTCGTTCTTGCAGTTATTATGAGTCACGAGGTCTTTAGTTGAATACACAAACTAATAAAGTATTTAGGCCATGCGGCAAATATATAAAAGTGGTTTCTCTATAATTAAGCATTAAAATTAAATTAGGTGCATTTCATTTCCTTCACAAGAATGCGCCAAATTCCAGCAGAAGAAAAAACATAAATTGAAAATAATATTTACGCTCTTAGGCATTGAGTTACTGTTGAGAATCCTTTCCGGTAAACACAGTAATTAGCGTATATTATATATAAACTGTTTATCTGTTGTAAATACTTATAAACGTCGTTACGTTATTCGACATAGCATGCCTAGTTAACTGATTGAACTCCTCAGTTTAGTTAATTTGTTACCTGACGTAAAACTTAGTTGAATTACAAGGATGGAGATAATTAATATTTTCAAAGAGTTGTAATAAATTATAAATTAAATCTTGCATTTCCGTACCATAATAAAGAAAATTGCTTACAAATTTTAATAAAATCAAACAAAAAGACAGTAACTCCAAAAATGAATATATTTATATTACTACCTGGAAAAGAGAATTCAGCTTAGATGCATCTCGAAAGACGCAGAAGGAACATATCTTACCTATACCAAAAGAACAAAAAATTTAGAAACATTAAAATCACATTATCACAAAATTCATTAAAGTAAAATATGTAGCATGAAACGAAACTTTTATTCATTTATCTCTTGAGAAGCATACAAATAGGTACGAATAGTAATAAAAAATTTCATGTATATAAATAGCAAAATCTGAATCATAAACTTGCACATTGCTATAAAATTATTTGTTTAAATAAAAGCAAAAACTTTCATGTATATAGAAACATATATATAAACCACAACAAGTAGCGTAAAAGAGCAAAATAATCAAAAACATTTATTTATTCAGCAAATTATTTTACACTTACGAATACTTTCTTACTACATAAATATACGCACGAAATTAATATAAATGTGTATGGCCTAGAAATAAATATACAAAATCTTTACTAACAGTAGTTCTTCTATATAGATCATTTTGAGTCCAGAAGGGCTATTAATTTCATTTTGGCATTTTGCGTTGAAAGCTTCTAATGTCCGTTTTGTGCCACCAAATACCTTTAAATGCCACCAAATATCATCGCCCTTTTTTGTTTCCAGCGCAAAAGACTGTGTATCGAAAATTCTAAAGATATCCTTATTTAAAAATTATTTTGCGATATTGCTGTTAAATTGAATTTTATGGTTTAAGTGCAAAAAAGCATGATATTTAATAAATAAAGGTAACACAGAAAACGTTAAAAAAGTCCCTTTGGGCGTAATGTAAAATCTGAAAGCCTTCAGATTTTTAAAAAATTTTTTTAATTAAATTTTTACCCAACAGACATGAACACAGTAAATTCTAAAAGTCAATAAGCAATGGTAAAAAGTTGATATTAAAGTAGTTCGTTCCAAATTCCTTAGCTACTTCTTTCTTTCATACGAACAGACATCTGTTTATATATGCACAGAATTACCTTACTTGTCACAATTAACTGGGTCGGGGTTATTTAGGATACTACTTTTTTTAATAATTTAATAATCTTAAAAACATTTACGCTATGTTAAAGCAAAAATAAATACAAGTAACGTCATTAAACAAAATATGTGTTAGAGTGAATTCACATAATTACATTTCAATATATTTATAAATATGCATTATATAAAATTGATTGATCATTTCAAGTTCTCCTTTGCAATATTTACGAGCAGCTGTACAGCAATATACATAAATTCAAACTTTTTCAGTACGATAATATGTCAAAGTATTATTGTTATGCTTTTTACTATTTTATCTTTTAAAAACTTCTCCTCACACCCATTCGTGCAGAAAGAACCCATTTGTGGGATTTTTACCTACATATAATAATGCGAATTGAACGTATATTTATAAAAATTATCGAATAATTAATGTATTTTATTTAAAAAAACTCTCACGATATGGAATGTAACAAGATAACTGGGAAGATATTTTGAGTTATAAAAAATTTCTTATTTTTATGTGAAAGGAAATTAAAAAATATCGAAATAATATGCTTTTCTAGTTAATAACTTATATAGGGCGGGCCAACTAAGACCTACCAATGGTTAAACCGAATACTTTTTATTCCCAGGGCTTTGTCCCCGAAGGACTATTGTTTTCGTTTTTTGCGATTTTGCGTTGAATCACTATAAATGCGTTTCACTTTTCCACTGTGCCACCAATTTAGAGTTCTGCATTATATTTGAAGAAAGTAAATAATGAAAATCTGCATCATATCATATTTCTCTCATTGATAAAACAAGTACTAAGCCCATCGAATTTGAATGCCGTAATCCTCCTACGAATATGGCATGTGGAAGACAAATTTGAATTTGTTTATTATCGATTTCATATCATGTAAACTTTAAGAATTTTTGAGTAGCAAACTCGAAGATTTAAAAGCGAGCCATGGCAAAGCTCTACGGGGGGGGACCTTTATATCTCCATCGCGCGGATCTGTGTATCGGAAATTCTAAAGATAGGCTCGTTTTAAAATTATTTTGCGACATTGCTATTGAACTGAATTTTGTGGTTTCAGTGCAAAGAACATGATATTTAATAAATAAATGTAACACACAAAATGTTAAAAACAGTCCCTTTGGACGTAATTTAAAATCTGAAACCTTTCAGATTCTTTTTTACATAATTATCTTTTTCTTTTTGTGGGTTATAATTGAATTCTTGGAAATTTATTATGGAACCGCACAGTACAAAACAACGCGTTAAAACTATCGAGTTTTTCTATTCTTGTCAACAAACAATTGTAATGACGCAGCGTAAATATCGGCAATATTTTAATTCAAGATCAACTCCCATATGATTAGGAGTTTGGTCGGTCGTTTTGAGGAACTGGGTTCAGTGGTCGACCGTCCTGGAAGAGGTGCCTATCGAAATATTCACACTGAAGACAACATAGAAACTGTGCGGTAGAGTGTCGCAAATGATCTTTCTGTCTCAACTCGTTAAAAAGAGCTAATCTCTGTATCGAGAAAAATGATGGACATTTGTCTGATGTCTTTCACACATAATTTCCATAAAATATATTTAATGTATAAAACAAATTAATCAAAATAAATGATTACTAGTGTTATCCGTGTTTAACATTAGTAGGTCTTATTTGGCCCACCCTACAGTTATAACATAGTCACAAAAATATATTTTTAATGTTTCAAATGTTACTTTGTCAAAAGCGTCAACAATACGTATAACTAGAAGTATTTTATTTACTATAATTATTCCTGAGCTTTAGGGAAACATCAGGTGATAATTTTAATTCAAATATTCGGAAAGACTGTTCTATTTTTCCAATGAATTACGCTCAAATATACCTTTACTGAAGCTATCCATTTAAACATGCAGATATTCATATTTAACAAGGAAACTAAAATTACTTCAGATTTTCTTTGCTTCACAGCTGGTTACTGACTAATTTAAAGCAAGCAAATGCTACTAATTACTTTGTTTTTATCCGTAATGAGAAGCCTGCGACAGACATCTAATAAATGTTCTTTATATATGTTACAATAAAGTTTGTCAAAACATAATAAAACAAACGCACTTTTTCCTTTCGACATCGACCCACAGGTCATTATTTATTTGGCAACTTGCCAACTGAAATACAAAGACTCCCATCGACACGTACGATTTTACCGCCCACTAATCAAAATAAATCACGAGGACCAATTAGAGTTTAAATGAGTAAGAATAGCAGTCTTTTTCTCTTTATTTCCATTTCATTTTAATCTTAGGAGCTTAAAGCTTACAAACTGAGAACACTGGGAATAAGAAATTTCTCAAAGCAATCTGAAATATGTTATTATTGAGCGTTATGATTACAGGGCAAATGACTCAAAGAAGGAAGATTGCATAAGAAGTAATTAAGATGTAATTTAAGTGAACGGTATTAGAAGTAAAGCGTAGCCTTAGTTTTCATTATTATGTAACCTTGGCCGAAAATATGGCCGATTTTTAAGAGCAGTTTGATGTGTATGAAAGCGACTCATACCAATGTAAAATGTAAAGTCAGGCAAGAACAAACTTAGATTGTGGCAAATTTTGCATAATAATCGATCGATTTAAGGTGAGGGCATAAATTCCCCTTTTTCAAGATTAAACAGCAATTTACAAGCCTTTTTTGTTCCTGAAAAAGAGGAACCCATGTTAGGCTTCCTCAAAATGGATACAGCTTTATATAAAATCTTCGTAATATAAACATTTTCGTTTGCTAAATTTTAACATTTTAATGCCAGTATTTATATCAATAAAGCCTAATTTAACTACATTTCATGATCATATTTATTAGAAAGATTAATTTCATAATTCGTGTCAATAAATATTCATAAATAAGTATTAATTTTATAAGAATAACATTCATTCTATTAACTTCAAGACAGATAATTTTAAGAGCCCTCATGCACTTATTCCAAGTTAATTAACGTGTCACTTAGGAATATAGTTTGATTATAGGAAAGGCTAAGAGATTTAGTGGTACGATTTTTACACAGTTTTATACAACTTCATACATCAGTAGCAAATATGGTGGTTCCCATATTTCAAATACTGTGAAAAGATTTTAGTATATGTTTAACTTGAAACAATTAATATTGTAATTCATTTAACTATTATAAAATTAACACAACCTGTAGCATTAGTTTCGTTGGATAGCAAACATTATAATCCGCGCCAAACGACATCCGTAACAACCCTTTATTTTGATTTTCTTTGGTTAAAACCAGGTTATTGCAAAAAAGCTTATTTTACAGGTTAATTACTGCAAAAATAAAAGCTTTTAATCACTTTTTTTTTAATTTATGCACTATTTATACATTCGTTTATCCATGACAAATATAAATTTTTCGTAGATGAAATTTTTAACACTACGCATTTTCTAAATTGTTTACATCTGATTTTTAACACCTTTTTTTGATTTTAAATCTATTGTCAGTCATATCTATAAGCATATATTAATATACCATTATGTCATTTAAAAAAAGTTGTGAGTGTATGATATGTGATACATATGTTCATTTAGAATTCACAATGAGAGGGGGAGGGAGAAATATCAAAACACCTAAACATTAAAAATAAATTCTTGCTGATCAATTTTATGAATGAAACGTGTTAGTCAGGACGCATATTGATGTTTCAAGTTATTAAAAGGAAAGCAATATATATTAACAATTTAGTGACTCCTGCTGTGGATTAATTATATGCCATTCCCTTGTTTAGGCCATACCGCATAAGCCTTTAGCAAAACTTCATATTTGCATATTACAGAATATGTGGTTACATTTATCAGTTTTGCCAACTAAGAGAGATCCCCTTTAACAAAGAAGTTGCAATTTTATTGTTAAAATTACTGAAAAGTGAAATTAAAAAAAGTCTGATGTGGACGCCACATGATATCCTTGTAGAGACTGTTAAATAATGCAAATTTTTTGCTGCACTTCATTTAAAATTATTTCCTCGAATTTCATCAAAGGTACATTTCTCATCGAATCAATTCAATTCTCACTTCGCGGCAAGACAAATATACATAAAACCTCAAAACATTTTCATTAAAAATTGTTACCAGAGTTAGAAACAGTTACAAATAATTTTTTTTACAATAAAACTCGGAATTTTTTGCAAAAACAAGCAATTCGGCCAACAAGCACGAAGACAACATTTTCAGTGCACAAAATTGAAATTTAATTTTTGGTCTCACTAACCAGAAAATACTGTATTTGGTTAAACAAATGACTTAAATCCCTATTCTACTAAGAATTTCAAATGTAAACAAACAGCTGTCACGTTAGGCCTAACGCGACTTGTTCACAATTTTATAACTATTGCCTGCAGATTACTCAAAGCCATAAAAACCTTAACCACAATAAAAGAAAAACATAATTCAATTACTTTTAAAACAGAAAATGCCTAATTCACTAATATATATAAATAAAAAAGGAGCTCAAAGCCAGGTAAAAGGGTTGGTTGGTATATATATATATATGGTGTGTGTGTGTGTGTGTGTGTTGTGTGTGTGTGTGTGTGTGTGTGCGCGTGCGTGCGTGCGTGCGCGTTTGGTGCGGCTGATTCCAACAAAAAAAGTAGATTGGCACAACTAGATGGTATTGCAATCCCACATACAAATTTTCAACGTTCTATGACTAAAATTTCTTGAGTTATGGGAAACACATACATACCTACGTACAAGCGCAAAACGACGTCCCTTTCGAGTCAATTTTTAATCCATTTTACAGTCCGTTTGGGGGAAAAACAAGAGTCCTTTGTCTGTCCATACGTACATATTTTAAGCAAAAAATATCTTTGAAACGGATTGGAGAGCGATCAAAATGTATATTTTCGTTGAAACATAATACCCAAAATTTTTCGCGATTACAGTACATCCTTTACTTCGTACATTGAAGTAAAAGAAAAGCATAAATATCTCATAATATTAAAGATTAGATTAGATTTATTTACATAATACATTATTATTACTCGTATTATTTATGATCATCTCAGAATTGAATTACTATTTCTTTTAAATTACTACCACTTAACTTTCAAAAACGTTTCTGTTAATCTTTTTAGTAACTTGCTTTTTCAGTAATTAGTTTTCTCTTTAGGGCAGAATCTTCAAATATAGGTGAATAACAATTAATGTTAACATGCCTATTGAACTATTTGTTTTATTCTATGCTATGAAGTGCGCTGTATCTACAAGAAGGAAATATTCAGACTGATAACTACCAAAACATGCGTATCACATTTAAAGACTTATGTTCAGTGCAAATATTTCGCAGCAATATTATCTCAATTAGCAAGTGTTAGTTAAAAGTTAAATTAATTTTAAAAACATCAGTCAGTTGTTTCATGAGTAAAATTCATAAGCTAACTTACTTATTTTCGATGCCTCAATTTCGATTCGAATTACGTTTTAATTACGTTGCAGCGTCGGATAATTTAATTTCGCTGATACAAATATGAGAAGGATTTCTAATTAAAACCTCGTTTGCTATGTCCGTTGCAGTAAAAAGTTACCCTTACCTTATTATCTCTTTTCTTAATCTCGTTTTTTCTTTTCTTTACCATCGATTTAACCAGAATAATCGATGAGACGTCGGAATCGATATTCCTGTTCCCATATTTACTTATTTTGGCAACTACTTTCGAAGCAAACAAAAACGTATCGCGTGCAAATGTAATGATAATAAAACGAAGGAAAATGGATTTCCGCGAGCTGTCTCTAAAACGGCATCGGTAAAATAATAAAAGTTTTTTCTTGAAATAGTCTGATGTAAATGAAGATAGAATTCGGCTGCTGAGAATTCCTTGATGTCTCGTTAGAGTATTCTCCTGCAATATTGAATTAAATGCTACAAGCACAGAAGCCGTGGAAATGATTAATAACGTTTTTCGGTACTTTTCTGTTATCTGACAGGATTCAGAAATAGACATACGTATTTATGTATGTATGTACGTACTTTATGAGAGTGTAAACGCAAACATACATACGTACATATATAACACACACATGCATATGTGCATAAAAACATACATTTCTGAATCCGTCCCTGATAACAGAAAAGTACCGTCTTTTTATTTCTAGTATTTGAAAAATTAATACGTCATTACTTATCAAACAAATAAAAAGGAAATTATATCAATCTGACAGAAATAATCAAAGTTAAGATAAATTTTATAATTATTTTTCTTACTCTAGTAGTACTCTATATTTAGTGTTATTAATATGAAAATCTGTAAACTATTTTCTGTTATAGACTTCTTCGGCAAACATCTGGGAGGCTTCAGTTAATCATATTGTGTACACAAAACTACGACATTTACATTTGTCACAATTATTAAATCATTTTGGACTGCTTTTGATACCTTTGGAAAACCAAAGAGTGTTTCGTATTCAAGAAAGCATTTGGTCGTTTCTGTCACTAAGGTTTAATTTAGAAGATGTTAATTCACTTGTTCTGAAAACATCTTTCTACATAGTCATCAACTATTTAATACACCGGAAATTCTGAATTCAAAACGGGAACAAATTTTTCTACAATCAAAATAATCCATGCCAGTGCTCTTTTGGTTTCACATTAGATTTTGTTTTGTTTAACAAAGCTCTCACCAAATACCTACATTTTGCACTTTATTTTAAAAACAATTATAGTCATTGGCCGTATATCACTATAATCAAATATTTGAATTAAACCTTGTAAGGCTAAAAGCTAATTGAACCTAAACGATTTACCATTTCCTATCACAGCTTTCTATCACAATTATATACATAAAGTACCTGATGATTATGAGTCTTAAATTAGTTGATAAAATGATGTTACCGAGATAGGTTGGATGTGTTATGAGCTTGTTTGTGACAATGTGGTTTATTATTTCTATATATATCTTAACATGGGAATCAACGTATTTACGTCATTGTGAATTCTAGTAATGAAAAACTATAAATAATCACTCTGATCATGCCAGTTCGTATTACAGTTTTCAATAATTATATTTCCTGTTGTAGCGAAGAAACCTTATCAGGACCCAAGACATTGCAATGCACGTCATTTTTACGTGACGTATGTGCAGACCACTGCGCCAAGAAGGCACGCTAAGAAAGTCGGAGAAACACTTTATAACCTTAAAACCGAGTTTTTGGTCAAATAAAAATTTTTACTTCCTTGTACGAAGTAAAGGAAGTATTGTAATCACAAAACTTTCCAGGTGCCATATTTCATATTTCAACGAAAATATCCATGCTGACCGCTATCGAATGCAATTTAACGATGTTTTTGCGTGGCATTTGTAAGTAAGGGCAGAATAAAGGACCCTTTTTTCCAAAACGAATTACAAAAATGATTTAAAATGGATTCAGAAGATATTTTTCCGTAGCATCTGTCCGTACAGACATACGTACGTACGTATATATGTATTTCGGATAACTCAAAAATGAGTAGCCTCATAAAGTTGAAATTTTGTACATGGGACTGCTATAATATGTAATTGTACACCTCCGTTTTGGGTTGCAATCGCCTGCACCAAAAGTATATACTCGGCTCGGTGAGCTCAGGTTTTTTTTTTTACATGGGACTGCTATAATATGTAATTGTACACCTACGTTTTGGGTTGCAATCATTCTGTGCTGGTAAATTGTGCACTTTTAGATTTAAAAGTGTTGAATTGTATTGCTCTTATGTTCCAGATAAGGTTTTTATGCCTTTTATTAATCTGCATGCAATTGTTGTAGAATTATTAACAAGTTAAAAGTCGTTTAAGTGCGAATAAGCCTAAAAGAGCTCCTATATTTGTTTACATTTGTAGAGACATTAGGTATTTTTGGAAGCAGGCAAAATGAAAAATGGCCAATCGCCTTCGCCGGGAATCGAACCACGGACCTCTGGAATACCGGCCCAGCGTGCAGAATCACTACACCACGAAGGCACGCCAAGAAGGTGGGAGAAATACCTTATATACTTCCCCTTTAAAAGGGCGACTGGGGTTTTTAGGGGAACCAATCGTCAAATCCTGGGTGTGCCAAATCGTCAAATCCTGGGTGTGGAGAGTCATCATTCATCACCCTTTTAGTTCGGGCGCCACTGTAGAGACATTAGATAGTTTTGGAAGCACGCAACATGAAAAATGAGCAATCGCCTTCGCCGGGCCTCTGGAATACCGGACCAGCGTGCAGAACAACTACACTCCGAAGGCACGCCAAGAATGTGGGAGAAATACATTATACATTTGGAATTTAGCAGAATAGATAATTCAGTTTCTGCACCTTCCGTGTCTTTTTGCAGAGTGGAACCAAAAGGAAACTTTCCGTTTTGTGCACCGAAAAATCTGTCTTCTAGTCCGCTGGCCGAATTTCTTGTTTTTTGAGTAGAAACTTTAATTTTAATTGCAATTTTTTTTTAAAAATTTAACGGTATTTTGTGTTTTACGTTTTTCCTATATTTTTCAATTTTTAATGAAGATATTTGGAGTTTTTATGTATTTTTACCTTGCTGCGAAGTAAGACCTCCATTAATGAAATGTGAAACATATCTGTAATCAAATTTGAAGAAATAAGTTTAAACGAAATGCAGGAAAATTACGTATAATTTAATATTCCGTACTAGGAAGTCATGTGGCTTACACATCAGATTTTGTTTTTCTTACCTTCGATGAAAGTATTACTTCTCACGTTTCCAAAACTTATTTCTACTATTATTTTGGCAACAAAACAAATAAAGGCAAAAGAGAGCTTTAACTGTCTCAGTACTGTCTCAGTAAGAATACCAGAAGAAGTATTCTTCTCTCTAAAAACTATAAAAATGATGATATGATGCCGTCATACACTTCAGTGATGGCTATAAAGGCTGATTAAATATCACTAAAAATTTAGGTACAGATATTAATTACTATACTATAAACGAGTATGAAAAATATGAAAAAAATTGTATGGACAATGTAAACTGACATTCCCTGATTAGTTTTAAGAAGAAAAAAAAATTTAAAAGCTGCGAGAAAGCAAAGAATGTAAATTCCAAAAGAAAAGAGGGCACTAGTTATAAGTCAGGGGAATTACGAACTGATTGAAAATAAGTCACTGGACGTTTGAATTCTTTAAATGCGTTTCTTTTGTTGCTCGTGGTGTAGTGTTTTAATGCTAACGAGAGACCCAATATCTTTGGTTTGGTTTCGTTTATTTAATTATGGCAAAGCCCGCTAGGGTTATCTGTCTAAGAGGAGGGATGCCTTCGTGGAAGATTTTCTAAGGGAAACTGGCTCGTATACACGTTACATGGGGAAAACCATGAAAACGCCCATGCAGCCAGCCAGTTCGCAGGATTCGAACCTCGGACCTAACTACCAGTGTTCAGCTACTTTACCGTTCGGCCGCTGGTGGGCCCACCCCGATATCCTTGAAAATTTGTATTGAAATCTTATGAAATTCGGTACGAATTTAAGGAGATAGGCCAATTACTAATTTACTAATTGATAAATGTATTTTTTATAAAGTTATTATGTGGTAAATATGAATTTTAATTAGAAAATACGTTTCTTTGTTGTATTACACGTTATAGCTTACAAAAGTTTAAAATAATATCCTAGCGTTAAAATAATAGTCTATCTTCTCGAGAATATCATTCTGATGAGTTTGCATTTTACAAAATATGAAAATATATAATACATTTTTTTTATTACGATGTTTTTAATTTATTGTAAATATGGTGTTTTTTGGGGGGGGCTTGTTTTCTTACTTTACTACAAGAATACAAAATTAATGATCATTGAATGATGCAGTCTCTTCATTATTTTCATCATTAATTATTTTTAAAATGTAACAAAAAAAACTAATCACGGAATACTTTAGCTTGTGAATTTGTAAAAAATATAAAACAAAATATAAAACACAGCCCCATAAGAAAATATCACAGTAAGCAGAAAATTTAAGATATTAAGAATATAAAAGTAGTTAAATTTACATCTACAATTAACTACATTTTATGTATGCATATGGTCTAAGTATATGAAATAAGTTAAAAATTAGAGTACGCAGAAAATTACGAAAATTCAAATGTACGAAAGAAGTTAAAATTACATCTTAAATTGAATAAAGGTTAAGTATATGGTCAGAATGTACAGGAAAGAGGTTAAAAAAAAGTTGGAAATTACTAAAAAGATAAAACTATAAAAGAGTTGAAAATAATGTTTAAAATTAAATAAAAGACATCATTATACAAACAATGAAAACTCGTTGTGTGGATCCTAATTCGGGCTTATTTACTGAAACTTTACAACGTAGAAAATAATTAATAGAAACTAGATTAAAATACTGTGATTCGCCGATTTTTAGAAACAGAATTCATAAAACAAGAAAAAAGGATTTGTGTTAAGACTAGCGCGATTATTCTTTGAAACACATCCAAAAATATTTCATAGTTAAAATTTAAAATACCCTAACAAGTAATAAACTCAAAAATTTCGATTATGGTTGAATGATTCAAAACGTACTCGACAAGAATTATG